AAATTAGCTGGACATGGTGGCAGGCACCTGTAGTCCCAGTTACTTGGCGAGGGTGAGGCAGGAGAATCACTTGAACCTGGGAGGCAGAGGCTGCAGTGAGCCAAGATTGTGCCACTACACTCCAGCCTGGGCAACAGAGTGAGACTCCGTCTCAAAAACAAAACAAATCAAGAAGAGGGGAGACAGAGAAAGGGAGACAGAGAGACAGATAGAGAGACTGAGACAGACAGACAGAGAGACAGACAGAGAGACAACGCCAGCATCCCCGGCTCTCCTCTGCTCCTCTCCTCTGCAGCTGCCTGCTGTGGGGCTCTGTCCTGGTTCTATTTGCTTCTAGTCCCTTTTTATTCTTTTGGCCGGGTGCGGTGGCTCATACCTGTAATCTCAGCACTTTGGGAGGCCAAGGGGGGCGGATTACCTGAAGTTGGTAGTTTGAGACCAGCCTGGCCAACATAGTGACACCCTGTCTCTACTAAAAATACAAAAAAGTAGCTGGGTGTGGTGGCAGGCGCCTGTAATCCCAGCTACTTGGGAGGTGGAGGCAGGAGAATCGCTTGAACCCAGGAGGCAGAGGTTGCAATGAGTCAATCGTGTCACTGCACTCCAGCCTGGGCGACTGTGCAAGACCCCGCCTCAAAAAAAACAAAAACAAAGCGTTGTCTTGTGCTGGAGCAGGCAGTGATAGGCTCCCCAGCCGCTCTGCATCTCCAGTACCCTCTCCTTCTGGCTGGTGCTGGTCCTCTCTCTCGGAAGTCTGCAGAGCCCCCTGTGTGGCTGATGGGAATCCAACAGCCACGTGAGTTTGTCTGGGTGGGGTAAGGTGTGTGGCTGGGATGCTTCTCGGTGCGTTTTCAAACCCTCTCTCCAGGAGTGCAGCTTCCTGTGCCCCACAGTGTGACCGGGTGCAGCGACTTGCTTCTTACAAAGAGTGTGGTAGCCAAGAGGGGAGGTGAGTCACAGAAGCCCTTGCCGGCCGGGCGTGTGACTCAAAGCACATGGTAGAAGGTTAGGCATAGGTCATCTATGTACAGTGTTTTTTTTTTTTTTTTTGAGACTGAGTTTTGCTCCTGTTACCCAGGCTGGAGTGCAGTGGCTCGATCTCGGCTCACCACAACCTCCGCCTCCTGGGATCAGGCAATTCTCCTGCCTCAGCCTCCTGAGTAGCTGGGATTACAGGTGCGCGCTACCGTGCCCAGCTAATTTTTTGTATCTTTAGTAGAGACGGGGTTTCACCATGTTGACCAGGATGGTCTCGATCTCTTGACCTCGTGATCCACCTGCCTCGGCCTCCCAAAGTGCTGTGATTACAGGCGTGAGCCACCGCGCCCGGCCTATGTACAGTTTTAAAACATGAGAGACAGTAGTGTACATTGTATATGGACAGTATAAACCCATCTGGCCTTGATTATCACCCGAAGCCAGGGGTAATGGTTACCTTTGGGCAGGGAGGGAGGGGAATTGATTCTCACAGGCTCAGGGGCTGTGTTTCAGCAACGCTAGAGAACCTCCCAGACAAGACAAAACAGGCAGCCTCCCAAACCAAAAGAACTGGGCCAAACAGCAAATAGGCGAAAGTGTTACACTTTGGTGTGGCTGAGATCCCCGGGCTTTTATTTTCTCTCTACTTTTAGATATGCTTGAAACATCTCGCTAAAATACATGCAAAAATCAGCCAGGCATGGTGGCAGGCACCTGTCTCCCAGCTACTCAGGAGGCTAAGGCAGGAGAATCGCTTGAACCCGGGAGGTGGAGGTTGTAGTCAGCTGAGATCGCACCACTGCAGTCCGGCCTGGGCGAGAGTCAGGCTCCGTCTCAAAAAAACCAAAACCAAACAAACAAAAAACAAATCTTACTAAAATATATTTTTTAAAAGAAGAAGAAGAAGAAAAGCCACTAGCTTAGGTCTTTTGGAACACAGACATTCTTCTGGCTTGAGCCTCTGGGGTATTTTGCGTGTCCCCATGACCCATCCACGCAGTGGGGGTGTCGGGCTGGCTGGTGGCTGCGGGAGGGGAAGGAGGCACCACCCTGAGGAGGGGCTCAGATGCCAGCACCACTTCTCCCGTGACAGATATTTGCTGGAATTTTAAAATATTCTTTTCTATTTGATTCCGGTCGTCTTGCGGCTGTGTTTCCACTGTTAGCTCTGAATGCTACTTGCAGTTTGGTTTTAGAACAGTGTGAGGTCTGGGTTCAGTTTACCCATTTCCACACAGACATGGGAATCCCAACCTTGCTGAGGAGTCTTTTTCTCCCACTGATTTGAGGTCCCTAAATTTCCTGTATACTTGAGTTTGTTTCTGGACTCTTGGATTTATTCCACTTGTTCCTGCACAAATGCTCCCTGGATTAACGGCTGTAATTTGCTGTGATTTTTTGATAAACGGAAGGGCAATTCAGCCCTCTTTCAGTTTTTTTTTTTTTTTTTTTTTTACAGGATCTTGTTCTGTTGCCCAGGATGGAGTGCAGTGGTGCAGTCTTGGCTCACTGCAACCTCCAATTCTGGGTTCAATTGCTTCTCCTGCCTCAGCCTCGGGAGTAGCTGGGATTATAGGGGCCTGCCAACACACCCGGCTAATTTTTTTTTTTTTTTTTTTTAGATGGAGTCTCACTCTGTCACCCAGGCTGGGGTTCAGTGGCGCCATCTTGGCTCTCTGCCACCTCTGCTTCCTGGGTTCAAACAATTCTCCTGCCTTAGTCTCCTCAGTACCTGGGATTACAGACGTGCATCGCCACGCCCAGCTAATTTTTATACTTTTAGTAGAGACTGGGTTTTGCTGTGTTGGCCAGACTGGTCTCAAACTCCTTACCTCATGATCCACCTGCCTTAGCCTCCTAAAGTGCTGGGATTACAGGCATGAGCCACCACGCCTGGCCTAATTTTTGTATTTTTTTGTAAAGACAGGGTTTCACCATGTTGACGAGGCTGGTCTCAAACTCCTGACTTCAGGTGATCCACCTGCCTCGACGTCCCAAAATGCTGGGATTACAGATGTGAATCACCGTGTTCAGCTGAGTTTTTTCTTTTTAGAATTTTTATTTACTATTCCTGTGGATTATCTCTTCCAGATGACTTTAGGATCAGCTTATCAAATTCTCTGAAAAATCCTGTTGACTTTTTTTTTTTTTTTTTTTAATTTTAGAGACAGGCTCTCCCTCTGTGGCCCAGGCAGGAGTGCACGACCGTGGAGTCTCCACCTTGGAGCTCAAGAAAGCCTCCTTCCTCCGCCTCCCACAGTGCTGGGATTGCAGGCGTGTTCCACTGTTGCAGACCCTGTTGACGTTTTGATTGGGAGTACATCATTTTACTCACTGACTTGTGAATAATTTACATATTCACAACTTTGCTTCCACGTGGGAATGGGGTGGTTTATTTTTATTTTTATTTTTTAATTTAGTTTGAGCTCCTTTTAGGTCCCACAGTCAAGGTTTAGAGTTTTTTAAAAAAAGGGATCTTGGCTGGGCGCGTTGGCTCACGTCCCAGCACTTTGGGAGTCTGAGGTGGACGGATCACTTGATGTCAGGAGTTTGAGACCAGCCTGGGCAACATAGCGAAATCCCGTCTTTACTAACAATACAAACATGAGTTGGGCATGGTGGTGAAAGCCTGTGATGCCAGCTACTGGGGAGGCTGAGGCAGGAGATTCGCTTGAATCTGGGAGGTGGAGATTCGCTTGAATCTGGGAGGTGGAGGTTCAGTGAGCCAAAATTGTGGCACTGTCCAGCCTGGGCAACAGAGCAGAGACTCCGTCTCAAAAAAAAATAAGGGGTGTGGGTGTGGGGAGGTCTTGCACATTTCTTTCTTTCTTTTTTTTTTTTTTTTGAGAGTTTCATTCTTGTCACCAGTCACCCAAGCAGGAGTGCAATGGCGATCTTGGCTCACTGCAACCTCTGCCTATCGGGTTCAAGCCATTCTCCTGTCTCAGCCTCTCGTGCAGCTGGGACTACAGGCACCCATCACCACGCCTGGCTAATTTTTTTGTATTTTTAGTGAGATGGGGGTTTCACCATGTTGGCCAGGCTGGTCTCGAACTCGTGACCTCAAGTGATCCTCCCCCAACTTGGTCTCCCAAAGTGCTGAGATTACAGGCGTGAGCCACCGGGCCTGGTCGCGCATTTCTTTTTAGGCTCATTCCTGGACGGGTATGTCACGGGCCCTGTGGTGACTGTGAATGGCTTCTGCAAATATTTGAGGGCGTGCGCAGCCAGGGTCCTCGCTCTGGGCAGCGAGCACAGCGAGGTGACTCAAGGGAAACCACAGGTTGCCACGAATGACTTAAAAAAGTGGGAGTTTTAGGGGAACAGACAACGGGAAACAGCGGGACACACAGGGAGGCTCCGGAACCCGGGCGAACCGCCGGGCCCGCGCAGCAAATGCGGAGGGTGGAGCAGGGTGGTCCCGGGCTGGAGTCTCCACCTGCGCGGCCAGGCCCCCAGCTCAGCTGCCCCGGCCCCGCCCACAACGCCCCGAGCCCGGGGTTGGGTCCCAGGTCGCGCTCAGCACCCAAGGCCCCGCCCACCAAGCTCAGCCCCTCGCCTCTGCTTCCGCCCACGGTTCTGGTCCGGGCCCAGGCTCCGCCCCTTTCCCCGCCCACTGCTCAAGTTCCGGTTGCAGGCTGACCTCTCTCCACCGGGGGCCCCGCCCCCTGTCCTCAGCCCCGCCCCCCGCCTTCTGTCCTCAGCCCCGCCCCGGTTCTCAGTCCTCGCCCCAGGCCTTGCTCTAGGTGTGAGACCGCACTCGCTATCCGAGGCCCCGCCCCTGCCCAGCGTCCAGCTTTAATCCCAGACTGCGTTCCTCGCCGAGGCCCCGCCCACCGCCTTAGGTCCCGTTCCCACCCTCCGTTCCGGTCCCGGTTGCACTCGCCGCGAGGCCCCGCCCCCAGCCTAGTCCGCGGCGTCGCTCGCCGCCGAGGCCCCGCCCACAGCGCCAGTCCCCGGCTGCGCTCCCCTCGAGGGCCCGCCCCCAGCTCTGGTTCCGCCGAAGCCCCGCCCCCGCGCCCCGCCCCTCCGACGCCGGCGCGCCGCCCGGGAGGCCTGCTACTTCGCAGTGTGAAGGCCTTGGCCGCGCCGGGCCGGGGCGGGTGGGGAGGGTCGCGGCTCGAGTCCTTGCGTCCCCGCCGCCGTCCAGGTGTTTGTCCCACCCCCGCGGGCGCGGCCGTTACGGGCGGCGCGGCCCCGGCGCGCGCGGCGAATCTGCGTCTCCGAATCACCGGGCGCAGGGCCTCGCGAGACCTGCGAGGCCTGGGTGGGCGGCTGGGCCTGGGCGGGCGGCTCCGGCGGCTCCGGCGGCGTGGGAGGCTTCGGGCCGGGCACCCGCGGTCGCCGGCATGACGGGCCGCGTGTGCCGCGGCTGCGGCGGCACGGACATCGAGCTGGACGCGGCGCGCGGGGACGCGGTGTGCACCGCCTGCGGCTCGGTGCTGGAGGACAACATCATCGTGTCCGAGGTGCAGTTCGTGGAGAGCAGTGGCGGCGGCTCCTCGGCCGTGGGCCAGTTCGTGTCCCTGGACGGTGAGTCCCGCGGGCGGGAGGGCGGGCGGGCGCTGCGCGGACTTCCTGGTGCGGCTCCAGGGCGCTGGGGCGCTGACTGCGTGGCGGGGTACCGCCGGCTCTGTCGGGCGCGCGGGTGGACCCCTGTGGCGCGCGTGGACTCCCTCGACCACACGCGTGGACCAGGGGAGGACGAGGAGCGCCTGGACAGCTGGGAGGGCTCCTCAGGCTGCCCTTCACTGTGGCTCTTCTGTGCCCGCAGTGTTCTTTTCAGCACTCTATTGCTGCTGGCCTTGGCCTTGGCCTTGGCCTGGACAGATGCCCTCGGCCGCTCAGGCTGCGGTAGGCGTGGGAGAGGACGTTTCGGGGATGGACCCCAGCCTGTGAAAGAAACTGGACTGTGGCCAGTTTCAGGTGGTCGTAAATAGAGCCGCTAAAATGATTGGAGTGCAGCTCTCTGTGTGAACATACGTTTTCATGCCTCTGGGGGACTTAGCTATGTGTTTAACTCTAGGAAACTGCCATAAACTGCTCTGTGATGTGGCCGTGCCATTATGCGTTCTCACCCGTTGCCCCACATCCTCTCCAGCACTTGGTGTTATTGATGTTTTTATTTTACTTGTTCTAACAGGTGTCTGGCATCTCATCATGGTAGTATTGTGTATTTCCCTACTGGCTAGTGATGTTCAACCTCATTTAGTGTGCTTATTTGCGAGGCCTGAATCCTCTTTGTTGAAATGTGTGTTCAAGTCATTATTACTACTATTTTGAGATAGAGTTTCACTCTGTTGCCAGGTGCCAGGCCGGAGTGCAGTGGCGCTGTCTTGGTTCACTGCAACCTCCACCTCCCAGGTTCAAACAGCCCTCCTGCCTCAGCTTCCAGAATAGCTAGGACTACAGGCACTCGCTATCACACGCGACTACTTTTTGGATTTTAGTGGAGACGGGATTTCACCATGTTGGCCAGGATGGTCTCGATCCCTTGACCTCATGATCCACCCACCTCCGCCTCCAAAAGTGCTGGGATTACAGGCGTCTTATTATTTTTTTAATCACGAGACAGGATCTCATTCTGTGGCCCAGGCTGGTTTCAGTGGTCCAGTCATGGCTCACTCCTAGGCGCAGGCAGTTCTCCCACCTCAGCCTCCTGAGTAGCTGGGACTGAAGGTGCATGCCACCACGCCCCGGTAATTTGTTTTTACTTTTAGTAACAACAAGATCTCTGTGTTGCTCAGGCTGGTCTCAAACTCCTGGGCTCAGGTGATCCTCCCGCCTCGGCCTCCCAAACTGTCGGGATTACGGGCGTGGGCCACGCGCCCTGGCTCCTTTTTTTATTTGGGTTGTTTTCTTACTGTTGAGTTTTGGGAGTTCTTTGTGGATTCTAGTTACTCAGCTCACTGCAACCTCTGCCTCCCAGATTCAAGTGATTCTCGTGCCTCAGCCTCCCAAGTAGCTGGGATTACAGGTGCACACCACCTTGCTCGGCTAATTTTTGTATTTTTAGTAGAGACAGGGTTTCACCATGTCTCTAACTCCTGACCTGGTCTCGAACTCCTGACCTCAAGTAATCCACCCGCCTTGGCCTCCCAAAGTGTTGGTATTACAGGCCTGAGCCATCACGCCGGGCCTAGATCTGTGGCCCATCTTGATCTAAGTTTTATATAAGGTGTGTTTTGTATGCTGAGGCCCATTGTTTATGTGGAGGTCCTGTTGTTTCAACACGGTTTTTGAAAGACTGCTCTTTGTGCACTGAAGGCCTTCGCTCCCTCGGTGGTGCTCACTGGGCCCCGTCGCTCCCTCGGTGGTGCTGGCTGGGCCCCGTCGCTCCCTCGGTGGTGCTGGCTGGGCCCCGTCGCTCCTTCGGTGGTGCTTGCTGGGCCCCATCTGTTGAGGTTCGCCTCCAGGCCTTGCGTCCTGCCCTATCGATCAGATGCCATTTCCTTTTTCAGCATCATGCTCTTGTTTACTGTACATGTTATATTGTCCTGAAATCGGACACTGTGAGTTCCCCAACCTTTGTTCTTCCTTTTCAAAGTTGTTGTAGTTATTAATTTCCCTTCTTTTTAATTTTAGAGTAAGTCGGGTGTATCTACAGGTCACATACTCTTATGTGAAGTGCTTGGGACCAGAAGTGTTTGGAACTGGATTTTTCTGATTTTGGAATACCTGCATTACACTTCCTGGCTGAGCATCCCCAGTCCAAAAGCCGGAAACCTGAGACGTTCCAGTGACACGTCCTTTGAGCGCGGTGTGGATGCTCACAAGGTTTCGGGTTTTGCAGCGTTTATAATCTCAGATCTTTGGATTTGGGATGTTGAGCCTGAACAACGGGCCTCGTAGGGTTTTCACGTGAATTGCAGTAAACCTCCTGATACATTTAGGGAGATGTGACGTTTTTCTCTGTTGAATCTCGTAGTCCATGAACACTGTGTCTGCATTCATTTAGGATTCCTTTGATACAGCCTGTCAGTGTTGCGTAGTTTTCAGCATACAGCTTCTGGAGATTTGTTTTTTATTTTTGAGATGGAGTCTTGCTCTTTACCCTGGGCTGGAGTGCAGTGGCGCAGTCTCGGCTCACTGCAACATCTGCCTCCCGAGTTCAAGCGATTCTCCTGCCTCAGCCTCCCACGTAGCTGGGACTACAGGCATGCGTCCCCACGCCCGGCTAATTTTTGTATTTTTAGTAGAGTTGGGGTTTCCCCATGTCTGTCAGGCTAGTCTCAAAGTCCTGACCTCAGGTGATTAACCCACCTCCACCTTCCAAAGTGCAGGGATTACAGGTATGAGCCACTGTGGCCTGCCACTTACTTGCTAGTTCTGAGTTTTTCTTTTTTTCTTTCTTTCTTTTTTTTTAGAGACAGAGTTTCACTCTAATTGCCCAGGCTGGAGTGCAATGGCGTGATCTCAGCTCACCGCAACCTCCACCTCCTGGGTTCAGGCAATTCTCCTACCTCAGCCTCCCAAGTAGCTGGGGTTACAGGCATGCGCCACCACTCCTGGCTAATTTTGTATTTTTAGTAGAGATGCGGTTTCTCCATGTTGGTCAGGCTGGTCTCGAACTCTCAACCTCAGGTGATCTGCCTGCCTTGGATGGGATTACAGGTGCGAGCCACCGCGCCCGGCCGGTTCTGAGTCTTTAATATACTCCTTGAGTGTTTTTATTGTTTGTTTTTTTTAGACAGTGTCTCACTGTTGCCTAGACTGGAGTGGAGAGGTGTGATCACAGCTCACTGCAACCTGGAACTCCTGGGTTCAAGAGGTCCTTCTACCTCAGCCTCCAGAGTAACGAGGACTACAGGCATGTGCTACCATGCCTAGCTAATTAAAAAATTTTTTTGATGGGGAGACAGGGTCTAGGGTCTCATTCTGTCACCCTGGCTGGAATGCAGTGGTCACAGCTTCCTGCAGTCTTAACCTTCTGGACTCCAGTGATTCTCCCAGCTCGGCCTCCTGAGTTGCTGGGACTGCAGGTGTGGACCACCATACCCAGTTAATTTTTCTGTTGTTCTTATAGAGATGGAGTTTTGCCATGTTGCCCAGGCTGGTCTTGAACTCCTGGGCGCAAGTGATTCTCTCACATTGGTCTCTCAAATCAAATGACAGGCATGAAGCAATGTCAGTTTTTTTTTTTTTTTTTGTAGAGATGTGATCTTGCTTTGCTGCTCAGGCTGGTCTCGAACTTCTGGCCTCAAGGCATCCTCCCACCTCGGCCTCCCAAAGTGCTGGGATTAGAGGTGTGAGCTGCTTTGCGTGGCCTCTGCTGTTTCCTTGAGGATTCCTGTTGATGCTTGCATGGGGTATCGGGCTGTGGTTCTTCCTGTAGAAGCTTTGTCTGGGATATCAAGGTCCTGCTCCTTATGGAGGGGGTTGGGAAATGCTTCCTCTTCTGTTTTCTGGAAGAGATTGTGTAGAGTTGGTGTTCTTTCTTTTTGAAATGTTTGGTAGAATTCGCCGGGGTAGCCATCTGGGCCCAGAGGTTTCTTTCTCAGAAGATTCTTCTCTGGGGTTTCGGCTTCTTCCATTGCTGAGGTTCTGGTTGTATAAGGGAGACCTGTGGGGATCACTCCGGTGTGAGGCCCCTAGGAAATGGGCCTCACCATACGGTGAGCTTGAGCCCGGACACAGATCCCCGGTTGGGAGAGTCGAGCTGAGGGAAAGCAGGAACCAAGAGAGGGACTATGTTATTCTAAATAATTAACAGACATTACTTTATGGATATGAGGACTTGGGAGGCATTGTGTCTACTTTCGGCTCCTTATGGTTTATTGCTTGATTGTGTTCATTTTGGACCTGTGTTACTTACTTACCTAACTTACAGGGCGTGACTGTAACTTACTTACCATGGCTTACAGGGCGTGACTGTAACTTACTTACCATAGCTTACAAGGCGTGACTGTAACTTACTTACCATGGCTTACAGGGCTGACTGTAATCTACTTACCTTGACCTATTGGGCGTAGCCTACTTACTGGAAGTAACCTACTTACTGGAAGTAACCTACTTACTGCGCTTAACTTACTTACTGGGTGTAACTTGCTTACTGTAACTTAAGTACGTTAATCTGGTGTAAACAACTTTAACTTCAGAAAAGTATATAATGAAACACATTGCAAAAATAAAATTGCTGCATGAGCATAGCGCATGTAGCCCTCCAGACCTCGCCTTTTCTATCTCCTTTTTTCCGGCGCGCGCTCTCTTCCAGGTTTGGGACCCTCTCGCTGGAGGAGATTCCCGGGCTCGCGTTCAGTTCACAACAGTTGTATTTTAGCTGATCTGTCTCACTGGGGTGAGTTGGCCGCTTGTGTTGTGAGGGATTGGCCCACTTGACCTACTTGGTGAATTCACCTGGAGACTTGTCTGAGGCATTCCCTTATCCTTGTGGTAGCTGTGGGGTCCATAGTGGCTCCCTTTTTTTTTTTTTTTTTTTCTTTCAGATGTTGGTGTTTTGTGTCTTTTTTCCCTTTGTCCTCTTGCTAGAAGTTGGTCAGTTTTTGATCTTTTCTAAGAACTGGCTTTGGGTC